CGCAGACCTCTACATGGGAACTCGTGAATACACCTTTGTCGACAAACAGGTCGTCAACACATGCTGCCTAGAAATAGGAAGGATCAACTTCAAGGAGATAGGGAAGCAGCAGAGGTTAGACGAGATCGTCAGGGAGATTGGGAAAGTCAAGGACAAGCAGTACCTAGGCTTCATCTTCAATTAGTTTAACTACATCTATATCACAATGGAAGGAGCCGATCGTGCATACGCATCCACGTTCAGGCAAAGAATGGATGACATTCTGCATACAAACGTCGAGTCAGCACACGACGGAAGCACCCCACGCACCTCACAGCGCAATTCGCCAGAACCTGCACTAGGACCGCAGGATTCTGCATCGCAAGTTGGAGGACCAGCATCCCCAACCCCATCGCTCTTACCCACCTATGTTCCCCCCATCTGGGAATTCGAGGACACCAGTTCGAGCATCTAGAAGATGCGCTCAGACAGTCCGCTCTCGGAGAAGTCCCGGACCACATCCGCGAATGGGTTATTGTCGCAATGAAACTCACGGTCAGTACCGAAGTCGCCAAGATCTACAATGTGCTCAGAAACAAGATGTACGAGCACAAGAAAGCCTTCGAGTCACTAATCCAAAACAACAAGAGCGAACACCGACTCAAGGAGGGAATGCTCCAGACGGAGATCGGGAAGCTCAAGGATAGGATCCTCGCACAAGATGCACATATGACGGTGTTGAACAATGAGCTCACAGGAACCCAGGCGGCAATGCTCGACACGGGCAAAGAAATGATGGAAATCAAGGCAGCTAACTAACGTTAAGCTGCGGCATGAGCTAGCTTCGCTCAAAGCAAGCGGCGTCACTACGATGCAAGGTCAAACATCCGGCACGGTCCAATCGCACAAGCCACACATCAAAATTGCCGAACCTCCACACTACTCGGGCAAAGGAAGTCTGGAGGACTGGCTCCAACAACTCGGTATATGGATGCGGTGGAACAAGATCAACGACGATGAACACAAGATTACCACGGCCTTACTGCACTTGGAAGGTGGCGCGTTCACATACATGTCCGAATATGCGACCAGAGCAGCAGCACGGCAGACACTTGGCACATGGGAAGACTTCGTCAACATTCGCAAAGTGAACTACAGGACCCTCGATCCAGACAAGGATGCGCAGCAGCATTTGAAGGATATCTGCGGCAAGATGTATCCCACAATGGTATCCTTCGCAGAACAGTTCCGTCAATGGGCCACTAAGATCAACTTAGGGCACACTGCACTCATCGCTTACATCGCTGAACACCAAAGCAAGGACGTACACCAGGCAATGGTCACACGAGACAGCCTAGGAATTTCTGACCCCATCACATGGCCAGAATACCTCGACCTGTGCCTTCAACTGGAGTCCAAGTTCCGAGCCGACAAAGCAGGACAATGCGGAACGGTTACAACATCATCATCATCAGCATCACGGGCCCCGAAAGACCCCAATGCAATGGTCGTGGATCGAGTATCCACCCTTACCAAGGAACAAGAAGGATGGCTGGAGAAGAAGCTATGTGTACGATGTGGGAAACACCCCTTCGTTTTTAAACAGCGATGCCCAGACCCCAAGTACAAAGGCAAATTCGAAATGCCAAAGCGCGGCCAAGCAACAAGGGCAATTTCTTTAAATGCGGCCTCAGACATCTCCGACGACAGCAAGGTGAGATATGAAGCAGTCCGTGCTTTCATCGCCAGCTACGACGCGAAGGGAAAGGAAAAGGAGGCAGAACCGGAACCAGCTGTCGAAGCAGCTAGGATCACGGAGGTAGAAGATGATGAGGATTTTCTTCGACGGGTTCTCTGAGGTCTGGCCAGAGTTCCCATAGACACTGTAATAGTATCTACTCGCTCTCGCATGTACCAGTATCAAGTTTTTTATACATCGCATCTACTGGTTCGTCAAAACATGTGATCGATTTATCTGTTCACCTCAAACAGGGAGTAAGGAAAGTCCAGACCGAGGTGCTCCTCGATTCAGGAGCATATTCTTGCTACATCAACACATGGCTGGTTGATCAGTTGAATCTAGCTATGATCTCACTTGAGAAGGAGATCAGGGTCTACAATGCAGATGCATCTCACAACAAGGGTGGAACCATTAAGAAAAGGGTTCTTCTAAGTATAACCATCGGAAACCACACAAGCAGGCAAAGCCTTTTGGTCACCGATATAGGACATAAAGACGTTATACTAGGCATGAGTTTCCTCAAGGAGCATAATCCCGAAGTGGATTGGGGAAAACTCATGGTCGATTTCACCCGGTGCCCCACACAGATGCACATCCTCACAGGTAGCAGTCCAGGAGGAGGACCTGGAAGACACAAACATCCCCCACGTCGAAGACCTGATGGAGTTCGTCAGTTTCCAGGAATTAGGTGAAAACTGGAATGACATGGACAGCTTCATTAGATGGGTGTCATTATCAGAAGACCCTGATGCACAAGCTGTAGCATCGCTCATTATGGGTCTTGACACCAAGAGGAATCAGGATAGAGTGCTGCAAAAAGGAGAACAGGACAAAGACTACTGGTCAGCCTATGTCCCCAAACACTTCCACGAGTATGGCGATGTGTTCTCCAAGAAGCAGTCGGAACGAATGCCCACAAGAAAGCCCTACGATCATCCAATCGAACTTGTTCCAGAGGCATCGTTACCACGCCCGGCAAAGTTATATCCTATGAACCTACAGGAAAGAAATTCGCTCGACACGTGGATAGACCAAGAGTTAGCCAAGGGCTACATCAAGAGATCAAGGAGTCCAACCGCAGCACCCATTTTCTTCGTCAAAAAGAAAGACGGATTACTGAGGCTCGTACAAGACTAGAGGAACCTCAATGCAGTCACAAAGAAGAACAAGTTCCCAATCCCACGCATTTCAGACCTCATCGACAGACTCTCACATGCTAGCATATTTACGAAGCTTGATCTGAGATGGGGGTTCAACAACATAAGGATTAGGGAAGGAGATGAAGAGAAAGCCGCCTTCATTACACATCGTGGCCTCTTTGAACCCACTGTAATGTACTTCGGTTTCTGCAATGCTCCTAGCACCTTCCAAACAATGATGAATACAGTCCTCGAGGACTTAATTCGCACTGGAAAGGTGGTAGTCTACCTAGACGACATCCTCATATTTACGGATGATCTCGATGAACACTGACGACTAGTGAAAGCAGTTCTACAGCGCCTCCGGGACAATGACTTATATGCCAAACCGGAGAAATGCTTCTTTGAACAGTTCTCAATCGAGTATCTTGGCATGATCATCAGCAAGAACTCAGTACAGATGGACCCTGCTAAAGTCGAAGGTGTACTTGGCTGGCCCGCACCGACAAAGGTCAAACAAGTACAGGCCTTTTTAGGATTCGCGAATTTCTACAGGCGATTTATAAAGGACTTTGCGAAACTCGCATGACCTTTAATGCTTCTCACCTGTAAGGAC